TATCCAAGAACAATTGGTTCTTTGTACCAATATATTTAGTGCAGGTATATCTGTGATTTTACTTTCAAGATCCTGGCAGATTCTGATTGGAATGCTCACTTATGTTTCTGAAACCAAAAACTTTATGACTCACATAGACCAGCCAAGAAAAAGAAATAATGTAACAAATAAATAAGTCGCCACTGTAGGCTAGATATCTTTCCTCTTCCTTTTTAACAGTTCTCTTAGAAGAAAAGTCTTCCCCTCAGTGGACAAACTGACGGAGACTACAGGATACGCTTTTTTCTCCTGTTGTTCCTAGTTCTGTCTGAGTCTTCCTTTGTTCACTGATCCGTGTTAGCAACCTGGCACCAGGGAGTATTAGCTTTTGGGGAATGTTTCCCTTCCTCCTTCCTCCATAAACACTGAAGACACATTGCTGACGGAATGGTTTCAGTTAAAGCCAGGCCTATAGCAATAGTCCAAGGTAGGCAGAAACACATGCACTGTGGTTCTGTTCCATCTTGGTATTGGAAAAGGCAGTCTGCCATGGGCCCCAGGCTTCTCTTCTCATTCTTACTGGGTCTGCCAAAAACGCCATGTCCTGACTATGCTGTTTTCCTGGACCATTTCTAGAGGCTGTGTTTGCAGTGAGATGAGTGAAATCTATCTATATACATAGAGCTGGCTTCCTTCCACTCATCAAAAAAACAATAAAGCTCCCATAATCAGTGGTTCTCTCCTACAGTGTAACACACTGCATGTGCAAACATCCAATACTGAGCTGTTTCGCCAAAATTCATAAGCTAAGCCCTAACCCCTAATGAGACTGTATCTAGAGATCAGGTCTAAGGAGATAATTAAATAAAGTCAAAAGAATGGGCCCCTAATTCAATAGAAATGTGGCCTTATTAGAAAAGGAAGGGAGAGATCTCTTTCTCTTTCTCTGCACCAGGTAGGATCAAGGGAGAAGGTAGCCACCTGCAAACTAAGGAGAGAGTTCTTACTGGACACTGGCCCCACCAGCACATTGACCTTGGACTTCTGGTCCATCAAAAGCGTAAGAAAATCTAATGTTTAAGCCACATGAACTGCAGTACTTTGTTACAGCATCCAACAGACTGATATAAGCCCTTTGTATCAGTCCTGTGAAATTTGAACTAAAGAATTATGGCAAACTTCCACAAACGAAAATGAAGTTCTGACCACTGCTTTTGCTGTGATTAATAAAGCCTTTTGTATCTTACGTCTTTCTCTAGTACCCTTGACACAATAACAGTCTCACTTTCCAGCTCGCAAGTAGGGTAAAACCTCAGGCCCCATACATTACTTGATACCAAGATGCCCGGTCTTAACCTAAAATGATCAGCCACTAGTCTGGGTTACGTATGATGATGATGGTGATGCGATGATGGTGATGGCGATGATAGTAGTTCCTCTTGTCCCCACAGCTATGACTACAACCATGACTGTGTGCCAGGCACTTTGTTCAGCACTGTTCACATATTATCCTGATTAATCTTAACAGCTCTGTGAAGTAGCTAACATTAAATAAGGGACTTAACAGGTCTGATATATACATTTTTAGTAGATCATTCTGACTGTTCCATAAACAATAGAATCAGCGTAAAGTTCACAGCTATTGCAAAAGATGTAACAGAAGTTCATAGATACTGTATTGCATCTCTATTTATGGTTTTGAAATAAGTATTTGTGAGATGCCTATAGTCCAGTTATAACACAGAAATTTAGCACAATCAATGTTATCCTATTCTATCTTGTAGTTCAAGGTTTCTAAATGTACTGCTCTTTCTTGATCTACTTATATTAATTTGATGCAAATCAAATGAAGTTAAGGCCCAACAGTGGTATATCCAAAGCTCAAACTGGTATTTTTGAGTGAGGTTGTAGTCATCTCTGTAGGTTGATCAAAGTTATTAGGCTATTTTTTTCTAGTGATTCAGTTTCACTCCTTTAAAAAATGTTTTCATAGGGATTTATTTCCAAAATGTATTTATAATGGTCTGTTGACATAGGTTATATTTATGTGAAAAAAAAATCCTTAACTTCATCTCTTTCAAAGAATCACAGCTAAGGCCAGACTCTGGCCCTTTCCTCTCAGACTGACTAGATTTTTTCCTTTTTGTCATATTGTTCTCATAGAGGCTGTAGAAAATGAATGAGTCTCTAGCTTTCAGTTTCCCACATTTCCTCAGGTTAAAGGGTTATGCTAATCTCAATGCATACATAGCTGTTTTCTAGTTTTTTTGTGTGGCTAAAAGAAGGCAGTAATAGATACTTACAAAGTCACCTGCCTAAGAGGGCTTTGACTACCTCTTGAAAATTCCTTCCTTTGGCTTTCTGGAACCAGCTCTTCCCTGGCCCCCCTTGTTTACTGCCCCTTCAGTACTGCATAGTTCAATACTCAAGTGTAAGGCTCTTTGAATCAACCACCTGCTCCCTATGACTTGTACACTAAATTTTGCAAAGAACATTCCGTCTCTCTGTGTGTTTTTTTAATTGCTTTTTAGGGAGAAGTATTTGCAGTACTGCAAGAGATCTGTAAAAAAGTTTAACAAAGAACAGAGAGTAGTACAAACTATTCATTCTATCATTGTTCTAAAACATGTCACCAAATACTGAGTAATACATACCAAAAAAACCCCAAAAAACCTAAAATTTTATGTGAAAAAAAATGCTTTCTTGGAAATTGTGCTAATTTCCAGAAGAAAATTATTTACTGATTATATTTTATATTTGCATAGACATTATGGGGATTACAAATGCTACAACATTTTTATTAAAATTATTTTGACTAATAAACTGAAAAAATTGTTGAAGTTAATGTTGCCAAAAATGCAGTTCTAATTATATTTTATTTATTCTTATTGTGTTTTAAGCTGGTGAGGACATTCCAGTTCTAATTCAGTTCCTTTCCCTGGCTGTTCTTTTTGTTTTTTCTCATTTGGGGAAGCCTATCTAAAAACCAGTTCTGAAGTCTTTATTCATATGTGGACTATCTGTGTGCTCTGATCATCTACATTAAAAGATCAATAGGAGATGGCTCCAGGATAGTCAGCTTTACTACTTCATTAACATAGTTTCACGATGGCAGACTAGTAATAATGTTGCCTACCTAATAGGTTTATTGGGAAAACTAATTAGTTAATACTTGCAAAGGCAATTAAAAAGCCTGTTTTTTTCCCACAGAAATGCACACATCATAAAGGAAATGCAAACATCCCTTCAAACCACAAGACACTGCTGTATTTAAAAAGCTAAGATATTCAATCTAAAAGTTATCTGTCAGATTTTTTTCCTTTAATGAATAATTTAGCATTTAATCCATTAATATTAACCTTTTCATTTTAAATATAGCCTGATGTCAAATATATATCAAAAAAATCCCTTAGAGTTAGTATGCCCTTTGACCAGAAATTCTGCCTCTAGAAATGTATTCTAAGGAAATCATAATGAATATGTGCAAAGGTCTAATAACTAGAATATAGATCAAAACTGAAATTAGAATAGGTAAAAATAAACAAATGAAATGTTCAACAGTAGGGTAAGGGCTACATAAATTATATCACAGTAATAAGTTTAAATACTCTGCAACCATTTTGAAATTACACTATGAAGAATATTTCCTTACAGAAAAACATACCTCACATGGTGATAATAAAAATAGTTATAAAAAATCTGATCACATTAGAAGATATGTTGAGTGATATGTCTAGAGTCCATTTTTAGGTTACATTACCAAAAACAGCAAGGAGGGATGTAGATAAATCAGTAGTGAAAAAGTGATTGTTGGATCTGAGTGATGGACACAGGGGGTTCATTACACTATTCTTTCTCCTTTTTTGTATGCTTAAAGTAAATTTATGTAATAAAAAGTTAAATTTAAGTATGCATTAGTTTCTGTTTGAACGTGTACATATATGCATACACACATATTTACACACATAAACATCTATGTGTTTAGGCATGATAAGTATGTGTGTGTGTTTATTTGAAATATAATTGGATGATTCATAAACTTTGTGTTCTGTTATGATTTTTCATATATATCAAAAAATCTGTAGTCAGCATTTGTCAAATTTAAAATGAGGAAAGAAGCTGTTATGAAGATATATAAAGCTCAGTAACAAATTATTTCTCCATTATATAGGGACTTTAAGTATGAAAACCTTCAGTTTACCAATTACCCAAATTGCCAAAGATCACTGAATTTATCTGTAATAGAGGACTTTAATAAATAATCCTTTCAGGAATTTGTGAATATAGTTCATTGATTGTGGAATCAATGGTCATTTCTAATGAATCTGGCATGTTTAATAACTAAAAGCTTGATCCAAACATTATATCCAAAGTAGTGAGACATTTATATTCCAGCAGGCAGAATCATTTAAGCCCTGATTAGTTAACAGACTGTATCCATGAGAACAGTGTATTGATTTCAATGGCTTTAATGATTTTCAGTCTGTTGAACCTAGGCACCTTGCAAATTTATGGGCTGGCTTCATTGACTCTTTTGATGTAATATATAGTTGTTTTTAGAAAGTGCTATAAAAAGTTTCTGGCATCTGACCTTCCCTATACAAGATCATTAACCTGTGATTTTTTTATTATTTTCAAAGTTCTTTCATAGAGGAATAGTAAATCGTTAATTTTAGCTTCTGTTATATATAAAAGGAATAAGCAAAAGCTAGGCACTATTGAAAAAAATTTAAAGAAATATTTCATAAGAATTTAGTTACTTGAAATATAACTTTCTAGATGAGTGACTTGACTAAAAGAACCTAAATTGAGCTAGTTTCCTACACTGGTATCTGACCCCACTGGGTTACTTGGCAAAAAAAAAAAAATAGAATGTTAGAATAACAACATGTATCCAATGATGGTTTTTCTTTAAATTCACATTTCCTAATTGTGTCTTACAGAATTACTTTAACTTTATCAAATCAAATTTGCTGAGTTTTCTATAAAGTTTTGATTCTGAATCTTTTTATACAGTAAATTCAATTTTAATATGTCACATTGTTCAACAGAAAAGAGACTTATTCTGCTTTTATTATATACTGTATTGTGAATCATGAAAACCTTTAAAAACTGGGAAAAAATGTTTCTTTCACAGGTTATACCATTACCAAAGATGTCTGGAATGATTAATGAGATCATTTAAATTCTATGTCTGGATTTCACTTAATCTTTCTGCCAAAGGTATGTAAATAAAGTTGAAATCTGTTTTTAGTGACCTTAGGTATAGATATATCTGTTCAAATTTAACCTATGACTTCTTACCAAAATTCTACATTTACTCTCAGTCATGACATTGTGCATGGCTGTCTCTGCAATATTTCTCTTTTATTATTATTTGAATAAACATATGGTCATTTTATGTTTTGAATATCTTCTAGTAAAATTACGTGCTTGCCTTTGTGCTCTTATCCAAGTAGTTAATGTAAGTGTTAAATTGGACAGTTTTGTGGTTTACTGATAGATTTCCCTTTCTAGATTGACATTGATCCATGAACCAATTCAATCATGAAATAAAGACAGAACAAACAAACAAACACTATTGACAGTCTAACATATGCCAGGATTTTGCTCGATGATTAGCTTAGTTGCCAAGCATTTTAATGTTGAATTTTACTACATGGGTAAGTAAATGGGTTAGTTACTAGCTATTTGACATTGACCAATGATTTAACTTTTCTGTGCTTTGTTTCTCCAACTGTAAAATATATAACTACTTGTTACAAGTAACCACTTTAAAAAATTATTTTTACAATAAATAATGTATCTGAACCATTAGAACAGTGTCAATCATAGCAGACTTCAATAAATACTGGCTACTGCTATGTCCAACTTACTAAAATCTTCAGCAGTATTTTAGTGTTGAAGTATTATGCGATTATTATTTTTTAATTTATATTCATATCTTATGCATGGTCAAAGAGAAATACAAAAGTGTACGCAATGAAAGGAGAAACTCATGCTTATCTCATACCTGTAATCCTAGTCTCCAGATATAATGGCCACCTAGAGTTTCTTGGGCAAAGTCTCAGACATATTCTGTGCATGTTCATATAAATACTTCTTTCCTTACTAACACAAATTAGGGCATACTATCAGAGACTGGCTTATATCCTACTGTTATTTCACTTAATATATCTTGACAGTTTTATATTTCACTAAATATAGGGGGATCTCATTCTTTATAATTAGCAGTGTGGTGTAAAATTAATTAGCCTTTTTATTCACGGATTGTTAAGTTGTTTCTTTCCTTTTTTAAAAACCATAATCAATGTCATGATAATCATATAATAATATTTGTGTGTGTGTATATATATATATATATACACATTTGAAATATATATATATTTGAATACATGGATACATGTAATTGTTGAACAAATTCATTCAGTTACTCTCTGGTTCACTGGGGGTGGGGTTGTCTTTTAAATGTTTTATCGATACTGTTACTAACCTTTTGTCCATACTATTTGCACCAATATAAATTTTCACCAAAGGTAAGTGATTATATGTGTTTTATCACATAATACTAACGCATTCATTTAATTTCTATATCTGTGAATAGACACATTTCCCTATTTGCTTGGTATTTCATTGCAGCTTGGAAATTTACTGTAGTTTGTTTTTCTTTGTTTTTTTTTTAAATATAAATACATTAAGGGTATTCTATTTTAACAGTATATACAATTAAAAGAGAGACTCCCTCTCATCTCATACCCGTAGTCTTAGTCTTAGGAGATAACGACCATCTACAGTTTCTTGGATGGATCCTCAGACATATCCTGAGAATGAACGTGTGTGTGTGTGTGTATATATATATATATATATATATATATTTGCATTTTTCTGGCTCAAATTAAGGCACACTAATAGAGACTATCCTAAACCTTACTACTATTTCACTTAATGTATCTTGACAGTTTTAGATTTCGCCAAATATAGGAGTTTTTTGGAACTCCTACAGAACTAGTATATTTTAGTTCTTTTCCTTCAGTTTTTCCTTTATATATTACCACTGCTATTACATTATTTGGTTGTTTAAAGGCTTTTAAATTTTATGTAGTTAAGTATATCTTTGTATGAATTCCGCTTCTGTAATTGGCATTTTTGGGTAATTGCTCATTTTTTCCTAGTACTTTTCATTTTTAATATTTTACATTTAAATCTTTCATTCATTAGAAAATTATTTTGGTGTAAATTATAAGTTAAGAACCAAGCTTTTATTTTCCAAATAAAAAAGCTCAGTGGACCCAGAAGAGTTTACTGAATGAAACATATTTCCCCACTGCTTTGAAGTGTCATTTTTATCATGTATTACATATTTAAATATTTATGCTTCTCTCTATTCTGTTCAAGTGATCTGTCTATTCTTTTGCCAGTAACACAGTGTTAGAATTGCTGTAACTCTTTATATTACAATGCATTGAGTCAGTCCCCATTCATTACTCATCATTTTTCAAAATGTTTCTAATTATTCTCACACAACCCGTAGTGTTAGCTTCTCTTATCTTTCAAAAAATATGTCGCTGGCATTTTTATTCAGATGTAATGAAAGTATATTTTTATTTTTAATAGAACATTATTTAGTCTAATAAATAGAAAATATAATGAAATAATATCACTATGTTTAGTTTCCCTATAGAAAACCTGTTTATGTGTATATATTAATCTTATAATCAGCCATTTTACTAAATCCTACTGTGGATATTAATGCTTTTTACAGTAAATTTGCTAATATTTTTCAGATATATAATCATACAGTATTTTTAAATGATAATATTATTCTCATTTGTCCGTTTTTACACTCATATTTCACACTCTTCTCCAGTAAAATTGTCTAATATTTCTATTATAATGTTAAACAGCAGTAGTTCTAAAAGCTTCTTTGTATTGCCTCTGATTTTAGTGTCATTCACTTATATAAATGGTTCTCAAACTTTAGCATGAAATAATTCTTATGAAAGGCTTGTGAAAATATAGATTGCTGGGTCCCACACCCAGACTCTTAGTAGGTTGTGGGAATGGGCACATTTGTATTTCTAACAAGTTCCTAGGTGCTTCTGAAACAACTGGTCCAGGGGCCAGACTTTGAGAACTGCCTTATGTTATCATGCTATTGCGTATGATGCTGGCTTTTCATTTGAAATACACATGTGCTTTTTTAAATTTAATTGAAGTATAGTCAGTTTACTATGTGTCAATTTCTGGTGTAGAGCGTGATGTTTCAGTCATACATATATATACATATATTCGCTTTTGTATTCTTTTTCACTGTAGGTTACTACAAGATACTACAGTTTCCTGTGCCATACAGAAGAAACTTGTTGTTTATCTATTTTATATACAGTAGTTAATATTTTCAAATCTCAAACTCCCAATTTATCCCTTTCCACCTCCTTTCCCCCCAGTAACCATATGTTCGTTTCCTATGTCTGTGAGTCTGTTTCTGTTTTGTAGATAAGTTCATTTGTGCTTTCTCTTTTCTTTTTTTAGATTTCACACACGAGTGATATGAAATGTTATTTTTCTTTCTCCTTCTGGCTTACTTCACTTAGAATGACAATCTCCAGGTCCACCCATGTTGCTGCAAATGGCATTATTTTATTCCTTTTTATGGCTAAGTAGTACTCCATTGTATAACTGTATCACAGCTTCTTCATCCAGTCTTCTGTTGATGGACATTTAGGTTCTTTCTGTGTCTTGACTATTGTATATAGTGCCACTATGAACATTGGGGTGCATGTATCTTTTTGAATTAGTGTTCCCTCCAGACATATGCCCAGGAGTAGGATTGCTGGATCATATGGTAAGTCTACTTTAGTTTTTTGATGTATCAAAAATACAAATTTTAGCAATGTTCTCCTAGGGCAGCCTACCCAGGCAATAGAAATAAAAGCAAAAAGAAATAAATGGGACTTAATTAAGCTTACAAGTTTTTACACAGCAAAGGAAACCATAAGCAAAACAAAAAGGCAACCTATGGAAATGGGAGAAAATATTTGCAAAAGATGAGACTGACAAGGGCTTAATTTCCAGAATATATAGGCAGCTCATACAACTTAATAAGAAAAAAACAACAACCCAATCCAAAAATAGGCAGAAGACCTAAACAAGCAGTTCTCCAGTGAAGACATACAAATGGCCAATAGGCACATGAAAAAATGCTCGATAGTGCTAATTATCAGAAAAATGCAAATCAAAACTACAATGAGTTATCACCTCACACCAGTCAGAATGGCCATCATTAAAAAGACCACAACTGATAATTGCTGGAGTGGGTGTGGAGAAAAGAGAAGGCTCCTATACTGTTGGTGGGAATGTAGTTTGGTGAAGCCATTTATGGAAAACAGTATGGAGATTCCATATATGCTTTTGATATGTTAAGGGACCTTTTTTTTTAATTAAGAATTTTGTCAGAAATGGATGTGGACTTTTTCAAATCCCTTTTTGGAAATCATGGAGTTGACAAATTGTTTTATTACTTTTCCATATTAACATGATGAATTTCAGTAGTTCTAATATTGAAAAGCTTTAGCATTCAACAAACTTGATGACAGCATTTTACTTTTTAATATGCTACTGTCACATTATGGTTAACATTTTGTTTAGAAATATTTTTCCATTTTATTAAATTTGTATTTCTGCTTTAAATATTAATGTTAATATTGTCCCATAAATATAATCTGAAATAATGTCTTCTGTATGTAAGCTCTGAAAGATTAAAAATCATAGAAAGTTTATCAGTTTCTTGAAGTTTTGATAGATTTCACTGAGAAAAATCACCTGGGCCTGACATTCTTTATGTAGTCTTTAAGAACCTGGCTCAATTTTGTCCATGTAATTTTTTTTTTGTAGGTAAATTTTGATAATTTTTATTTTCCTAGAAAAATAGTCTTATCTTTTTTGAGATAAACAACATACCTCCAAATAACACATGGATCAAAGAAGAAGTCTCAAGAGAAATTAAAAATATATTGAATGAAATTTAAATAAAAATATAATTTATCAAAATTTGTGGGATGCAGTAAGAGCAGTCTTTACGATAAAATTTATAGCACTGAATGCCTGTATTAGAAAAGTGGGAAGAACTAAAGTCAATAATCTAAGCCTCCGTCTTGGTATACTAGAGAAAAATGAGCCACGTATATGTAAAGCAAACAGAAGAAAAGTAATAATAAATATTA